GTACCAACTACAAAGTTCTGAGTGCCGTTTTCGCTGATGCGGCAATTTGCCTGATGCTCGGTGTTGTTGTTGCTGCAATTATTATTGTTGGCAAAGAAAAAGTAACTTTTTCCTCGTGGCCTTGTGTAAATTTGTAAAATTGCTTCCTTATTTCATTTGGCAAATAAATTGAAAGCCGGCATATGCCATGTGAATAAGTGTGAGCGCCAATTTTTGAAGGCCATTCGCTGCGGCAGTTGATGCAAATGTCTTTTGCGAATTTGATTTATGCGCGTGCCGTACAAATTGATTTGCAATTGCCAGGCGTCGACTCATAAACACATACAATATCGTCGGTTGTCATGACAGACCGGAACCGAAAGCTAAGACCATGGGGAAAACACTGGTAACCGCTGGAGTTAGCGAGAGAAACGGAAGAAATGAGTTTAGAGCTATGTGAGAGGTGCGTAGAAGTACCCTAGCGCAGCTATGCAAATGTGCCCGTTGAGGCGATATCAATGTGGGTCCCTGAACCAAGTTCCAGTACCAAGTTTCTAATACTTTTGTGAGAGCCAAACAAGATGACGGCAAAGTTCACGCCCGCTGTGTAACCAAAGCAACAACAATACCAGCATTAACACAGAGCGAAAACAACAAAACACCATTTAAATTAGATTGAGTTTCTTTTCGTGTATTACTTTGTTGTAGCCTCGGGAGTTTTCCATGTTTACCAAGTCTTTTGGGTTGCTTCATTTACATATGTACTTAACACGTGTCGTTTTTTCTTGTATTATTTATTTAATTTCATTTTTTTTCTTCGTACCCCACTGATATGGCAAAAAGAAGCGTCTGAAGCAATTAGTTAATGAGAACCATCGCAAATGTTTCAAGCCAAATGCAAATACACAGCCAAATACAAACACAAATTTTTGGCTAGCTGCTGGATTCTGGAACCCGATTGAGATACGCGGTCTGGGCACCCGGTTAAGGTATTTATAAGACTGTTGAAGACACTCGCTGCGCTCTTAATCAAATTACAGCTCTAATTAATTTCAATTGTTGCGAAGCCGGTTCCAGGCACTAAATATACTTTATCCAAAAGTGAGACGATGGGCGCAGTTCGGCCAAAAGCAAAACAAAACACACAGCCTTGATGTAGCTTATTAATAATAATGTGATAAATATTTTTGGTAAATTGTTAATTATATTTAACTTTACCAAGTGGAAGATCGACCAAACCAGCATTATATAAATATATTTGCATTTAAGAATCACAATCCTGCTTTGTCACAGAATTCTTAGACTCCGACTCAGCGCGCTTTAGGAAAGAACTCAGCTATTATGGTTTGGTCTCAGTTTGTTACATTTAATAAATGCTTATAATAAATTTCTGAATATGTGTATATATTTACCGTCTTAGTTCGCGCTCTGTTAAGATTTTGCTTAATTTTCGGTCGTTTTTATTCCACTGTTCGGACATTAAGCAACGCCAGTCGCAAGTTCATTACAAACAATTGATTTGGCAGAACGGCGTAAAACTTGGCACAGGTAAGACAGAAGACGGGGCGCCAAGAAGGGGAGACGGCCAACAAGCAAATCGCAGACGCAGACGAATGGGGGCGTCGACGTCAGACGTCGTCGTGACGCCAACTCTCAGGGCAACCACATCGACGTCGTTGTCGACGTCAGCGTCTGCCCATGACCAGCGCAATGTGGTTGCAACTCTAGACAAAAAAGCCAAGTCAGCAAATGTGGCTACCTAACCAAACCAGAGAGCGCAGCAGCAGGAGAGGCAACAGTTCTGACAGGCTGACTGGCTTGTGGGTGTTGCGGTGGCTGCAATAGCTGCCGTGGGGCATTAATAATGAAAATATGCAGGCTGCTGCTGCTGTTGGTGCTGCTGATTGAAAATGAAAGGCAGAGCCAGCCAGGCAGCCAAGTCAGGCTGACGGAGGCCGAAGGGTAGCCAAGGTACATGGGAAATCTTTTGAAAAAGGATTAACATTAAAATGTGTTTGTGTGCATGAAAAGTTGGGCTACTGGTTTGAGTAATGTGCGCACATAATGAGTAACAAAGCGCGCTAATGAAGTACTCAAGCTTCAGGCAATGTTCAACAGCCAACTCCAAGAGTTCTCCGTTCATAATGTTGCGCCAAAGTTTCATGCCAAAACTGGGCGGCGCCCGTGGACATGAGGCACTGTCACAGGACAAAGAAACCTAAAGCCAACACAGCTCAGCATTACTTTTAAATAAGCATAAACCAGCAAGACGGGCCAATTGCCAAAACGGAAGCGGAACAGACGCAAAAAAAAAAAAGCCAAACAGACAAAGATTGAAGCACGCCGTAAACAAAACGAACCATGCCGTGATGGTCGAATGTATCGAAGGAGGCCACGGAATAGAAAATGCAATTTTTGTATAAATCGCCGCTATCTGAAATCAATATTTGCTGAGTATACATTCATATATGTCCCAGCTGTTAACATATCACATATAAAGTACTCTGAAAAGAAGTGAAAATGCTAGCTACACGCAGATGTTCGACTAAAATATACTCTGCATCCTAGTTTTTCTTTTTAAACGAATTTGGATTTAAAAAAATACAAGCTTTCATAAGCGGGACACGCTAACCTAGCAAAAAAAAAAAAAAAAAATTAAATAAAATTTAAAATTTGATGGCGTAGCGATTATAAACAATATTTTTTTTGCTTAACTCATAAATGAATTTCTCAAATGAATCTGTTTTTTGGAACGTACAGACTATGAAAAGGGTATAATGATTTTGTGTATAATATTTTAAAGCGAGCGCGATCACTGTCGACATTATCTTTAACATGAGGAATATGCATATATTCCGTAATGAAAGGGTCGAGTTGTTTAAATTGTTAAGTCTTGAATAACGAAGCTTGGTTATGTACATTACAAAATGTGTACACAAGGTTAGATATAATCTTATATCTTTCCTTTAATTTTGCGAATAGTTACTGTCAAATCTGGCAGCTGTTAAGCTCATGCAAATGAACATGAATGGACAGCTATTCATATCCAAAGCGTTTCATTATTCTATTCTATTCTATACATAAATCAGAACAGCCTAAACTGAATTATGAATACACATAGTTACACTTAAAATCGTAATATAAAATGCTACAGCTAATCCCATGTTGAGTTTGTTGATTATATGATCATTTAAGCTACAACTTTGGCGCTGATTTGATTTACTTGTGAAGCTCACAGATGTGTTTATATGTTATTTGTATAGTTATGTCTGGTTGACTGACTGCTCATAGCACTTAAGCTGATTTGATTTGCGCATTTGTTGTTATTGTTACGAACACACACACACACACACACACACGTGCACACAAGCATCCAGAAGCAAACATTCGTCGTAGCTGCTATTTCCAATGGTCCCGCGGCGTCTGTGGCGTATACGTAATTTGTTAAATAAAACGCAAGCTTGCGGTTATTTTGCTTTCTGCTGTCGTTAACTTTGTCTGCCATTGGGCCGATGCTATTGTAGCAATAATAACAATAGCAATAATAATAATAATAGCAACAATATGCGATGGCAAATAAATTTAATGTGCGGAAATTTAGCGCTCAATTAAGCCACACATTTTTTGGTTGATTATATCGACGCTGGGTGTGTGAGAAATCTCCACGATATACTTACATACTTTCATACATACAAAGTACGTTTTGCTTACCTGTAAAAAAAAAAAGAAAGAGAAGTGTGTGAGAATTGGCTTAAACAAAATTATAGCAAATTATTTTTTTAGTTGCATTTAGATTAAATGTGACAAGTTAATCAGAAAACGAAGTGAACGACTTTCAGACTCGCTAAACCAAAAACCATAGAAGTATCGTTTACATTTACAGTTGAATTAAATGCTTACAACATCCCTAGCATATTTTTTCAATCGGTCATAATAAATTATTTATTTTTAATAAATATACTATACCTCTATTTTCTTATGAACCAAAGCTTCTGCTTTGTCAATAACTGATCAAATTTATATCTATAAAAATAAATTGTGGTTTAAAATTGTACTGCTTACGAAATCCTTTTTCTCGGGTTCACTAAAAATGTGTAAAAGCTAAAATTCATTTTTAATCAATGCCATATTATCAACTGTTTGTTCTAGGCCAACTTGCAGCTTGCATCAGCACGGGCCAAGGATGCGAGCGAGAATACAAGTGGAGCGCCACATTGACTAACCTACTGACGACTTAACCCGCACACACATAAATTCTCGAGCGACAGACGTTGTGCTGCTTAGATATGGGCAAGGCAAGATAGAACCAGGCTAATGGCACGGCCCAACCAAGCAACCAATCTTAAGACTCTTCTGGTCTCCGCAAAATTTATTATAAAATTCAATTTTTTTTTCCTTTTTTTTTTTTTGGTTAGCTAAGTGAACTTTTGCCAAAGTGCCGGACAAATCTGTAGGCGGCCAGTAACCTGGACCTGGCAGCGGAAGTGTACGTAAAAAATGTAGATATGTATGCATATAGAAAAAATAAAACCAGGCTAGGTATTTAAATCGCTTTTAATGGAAAAATATGCAAAGCAGCGGCAGCCTACGTAAGCTAGTTGGCTCTGGAGGCTGTTGCAAATCTGTGCGGACTATTGGCCCGTCAAGTTCCGGCAGTAGGATCCCAGGCAGCCGCCCTTCATTAAAATTCCAAACATTTTCACTTTACCAAGACGCGCGCACGGAAATGCTGACACACTTTAAAACAATTTTCTGGCGTTCTTCCCGTTTTGTCTGCGGGGGCGACTACGGCGTTGCCAACACAGGACATATGACAAACTTGACGTAGCATGTCAAAAGATTTCAAGGCAATTTGGCAGTGACAGAGACCAGGACAACCATAGAGAGTGGGAAAGGCGACCGACGTGTGTCTATGCAGTGCAAACAGTGCTGGGAAGTGTAGAAAACTTTGACTATGCTGTCAAGTATGCAATGGTAATTTTCAACACCATACACGCGCGCACACACGCACACACATGCGGTGTTAGACATTTGGTAAAAAGTTTTTCCACAGAACATAAATTGAAATTCGATTGGTACAAGAACATTTCAAATTAGTCAATTTAATGTGTCACTTGTTTGTAGCAGAAGCTCAGTGCTGTAAGCACTTGTTTAGATGCAGGCAGTAAAACTTTTGCGGATGCCGCGCCAAGAACAATTATAAATCTAATCCAATGTAAGACCTTTTATATGTGCACACAGTAAAACGTTATCGAGAGGAATAAAGAGATTGCGATGGATAAAAGAGAAAGATAGACAGAGGAAGACCTGTTGGCTAACTAGTTTAAGCACTTTCGTGGATCGCAGCATCAAAAGGTTGACAATTTTTGCTTTAATAGAGAAAGCATTGAAATCAAGTTTAAGCGAATATTTCTGCAGTAGAGGGATTTAAAATTGACAGCTCTCGACTGAGTTAATGCTATAGAGCAATCTCGTATTTATTTGATGACACATCCCTAATTTTATTCATAGTAGTAATTCAGGAAATGAAACCTTTACGAAAAACGTTTACAAAATAAAATTATTTGAAAATGTAATGCCCTCGTGAGTTGAACTCAACACCAAAATGCTGGAGCATAAATAATAAATCCTATTCATGATATATAGTTCACTTCATAAAATTAAACTAAAGTGCCTCCGGCTTTCTGGCAACTATCATTATATTTTACGCAATAAATTCATATCATATATACAAATGAAAACCACATTTGCTGAAATAGAAATTGATCAGCACATCGAATGGCATATTGGCCACAATTTTCATATGTTATAAATAAATACATTTATATTCCAATTAGCTGGCAACTTTACATGGACCGAAAGCAAATGTAATCTGTACAGTTTACACATTGTAAATAGAATTTTGCAAAATGTTATAATAATTTTACGAATCTAATTGGGAAGCTATTTGCGTGGCGCACTGTTGGGCAGGGGCCAGATTGCTGATAAGCCGTTTACATTTTAAAACTGATTAAATTAACTCCGGCCGAAACAACAAAGCCAACAATCGGAACAACGACATTAACAACAACTACAAGAAGAAAAACATAAGCAGCTTTTAGAACTGCCGAAGTAGCATTAAAAAGTGTTAGAAGTTGGAAAGCGTAGAAGGCGATGGGTAAGTTAAGAGCCGGTAGTCGGAGGAGTGCATATGCTTTGCACTGCACAGGATGGAAACTGGAACAGGGGCAAGAAGAAGCACTGCAAGGACTACACTACTATAAAATTAAGATTAAAAGCTTGCAATGTGTGCGAGCTGTTCTATCTGGCCCCGTTTATTAGTATCTCTCGGTCTCTCTCTCTCTCTCTCTTTCTCTTCTTATCGCAAACATTCTCTCTCTCTGTCTGGCTGTTTATTTGCTGGTGTGTGTATTTAAGGTGAGCGAGTGTACTAGCACTTTACTGTCCATACAGTTGTTTGTTAATGGTTTCCTTCAGATGTAGGAAAACAAACAAGCTGAAGCTGAAGCTGAAAAGCGTTTTCTTTGCCCTCGTGCCAGATTAGTTGCCCGACCGCCACAAAGGACTAGGAAATTAAAAAATTTCTCTAATACACAATGCACAGCACCAGCGTTAAGTGAAACAAAGCAGCGTTTTAATTTACCAAGCATTGCACATTAAAAAAACAACAACAATAGCAACAACTACAAAACAGAAGCATCCACACAAGCTGACAGCCAAATAGAGCAACATGGCGCATGGCAGCTGAGAGATGAAGGAAAAACATATATATATACAAATATATGTATATATATATATTAAAGGCCAACAGCACGATTCGTTGCCGGAATATGTCAAAGGCCAGCGAGAGATATCAGCTACTTTGCAATTTTCGTGCTTTATCAGCGTGACCAAAAAATGTTGTTTGACATTCACAATTTTTGTGCCGCAGCAAAAACAATTTGCATTGATTTACGGCAATCAGCACACAATAAAATATTGTGATTCCCTTAAGAAACAATTAAGAAGCTACTACAATAGCAATTAAATATGTAAAGATTTTTCTGAAAAGAAAAAAAAAAACAAAAGAAATGCAACTACAATGCAATGTAAATGTTGTCAGATTGGAAAATTGTTTGTAAGGAAAATGTCTAACTGTATTTTAATGATATGGCAACAGTAAACAAGGCAATCAGATATTCGGCAAATTTAAAATTTACACACTTATACTTGATAATTTGGTATACGTGTTTGGCTGACGGATTTAATTCAATATTCAGAATTTTGGTTTTAGTATTCATATGCCATTAAAAATGTATAATTAAAATAACAAACTTCCATTAATTGAAGTATTTCAAATTTATATGAAACAACTCTAGCGCAATAATGCTCTATATTTTAAATGAAAGCAAAAACTCGCATTGTTACTGCCTGATAATTCACGCATTCGTTAGTAGTAATACCTGAAACCTAACACAAAAAAACATTTTTCTTTTTTTTTTAATACAAATTTATTTTTTCCGCAGGGTATTAAGATTCAACGAAACTGCAGGCTACGGGCGCCTGCAGAATGAACAAAAATTATTGCAAACATAAAACATATAATATTCAATTTTTTTTTATAACGTGTTCGCGCTGCGCCACGAGATAAATTGCAATGCGGTGAGCTGAAAGATATATACGCGTCCATAGATATATAAATATATAACAATGTATGCAAGTATTTGTATTTGTGCACATTTTCGAAGCTTGTAGAGAAAATGATTATCAGAGATTGATTAACGTGTGTGCGCCCTTCGGGGTTGTAGGTCGCTTCGGGCTCGGGGGCAAAAAGCGGCAGTCGGAGTCGAGGTCAGAGCCCGGACTGGGCACACAGTTCTGCTGGCCCTTTTTTTATTTATTTTTTTTTTTTTTTTGGTGGTGGCTTTGTGACTTTTTACAGGGTTGTCAGCAGAGCACGAGTTGAAACAAATGTATGTGTGTTTTGTAACTGTGTGAAAAGGGTATTTATATAGGATTCTCGTATTATTGTAACTGGGGCGCCCGCATTTGGGCCTTGCATGTGCGTTAGACAAATGAAATATGGGAGATGACAGAACTCTTAGTATTTTTATGAGAAAATGCCATGCCATCAATTTGGACTGTCTGCAGTGAAAGCTCCATGATAAAACAAATAGTTTTTTCAAATTTCATTTAGCAATTAAACTAACAATTTTTTGAACCAGTTGCTCCCCTTGGAGATATTTGAAAAATCGATGTGAAGAATGTATAGAATGGTCTAGGCATAAATTTATAAACCTTTTACTTACTTACTTTTGTCATCAAAAACAGCTACTGTGAAAAGGAAAGCTCTATAACTCTCATACCTAAACAGACAAATATTAGCAGATATTAGTCGGCTTTGCCCGTGGTTGCTTTCAAAATAAAACTAACTAGAATATCCAATAATGTGGAGAACATATCTCAAATCATCTTTCAAAAAGATGTTTCAAAGGTTTTTGAGCCCCTAGATTAGAAGCTTTTTCGAATTGTGCTGTGCTTTTTTGAAGCAGCTAGCTTATCAACTGCCAATCAGGACAGACAATTTAAAATATATAGATACAATGCATATAGTATTTATAATTGGACATTTTATAATTGACAAAAAAATATATATTTTTGATTAAGACGAGCTGACTACCTCTTAGTTTTTACGTCTGTTTGTATGAACACCTCGGATTTGTAGACTTCAAATATATGAAATTCCCTCATATTATTAAGATAAACAATTATCGTATTTAGGCTAGTTTTCTTAAGCATACCTAAGGTACAAAGCGCTAGAAACTCCAAATCAATTCTCTTATGGCACCCACAAACATTTCACTTAATAAATATCCCATTTGGAATTATAGCCCTACTTTTGGGTGCACACAAATTTGAATACCCGTAACTCCAGAACTAGAGAAAGGAAGAATTACAGCTGGACTGTCTGCGTGGCATTTATTTTGGGTATGCTGGGTACGGGGTATTATTCAGTCGAGCTCTTATGAATTAGCCAAAAACAAACACGTGTGTTTTTTTATTATTATGTAGTAGTTTTTGCTTTTGTTGCAAAATTCCAACGTTGTCAATCAATTGTCAATTTGGCACTCCATCAGATGAATATCGCTTAAAGTTCCCTCCGCATTTTTATTCCCGCTGTCAATTATTGATATTGTCGGGACTATCTGAGAAACAGTTTTTGCAGTCGCATATGACATATATATATATACATATATATATATGACATACCTCTGTACATATGTACATCAGCATGCATGTATGTACGCATGTATATATTTATTAATTTGTGCAAATTGAAATTCATTCGCGTCGAGTGCCAACAATTTCATCTGTAAAATGTCTGGCAATGATATTGTTGTTATTAATCGAGCGAGTCAATTTTTCATCTCCACGCAGCTCCCATAAATCCACAATTCGCACTTTTTTAACATATATATTTTGATCCCTGCGCACGGCCCCTTTGATTAAATTGAAAAATTGTATGAAACGCGTAAATTACACAAATCAACAATAACAATAAAACAAAATATATAACAGAACAAAATAGGAAAGTGTTTTCAGTCAAGATCGCCCGACTACAAGATGCCCTGTACCCAGCTGTACATTTAGCTCGATCTATTCTAAAAGAAAATTGTAGGGAAATGGGCGAAGCCTGATATTGATTTTCAGAATAGGATATTCAATATCTCTTTAGATATTCATCAGACATCGAAGTGTCAACAAAGACGTTCGTCATGAATATAGCCTTCGGCCCATTTACAGCGATTAAAGGGTGTAAGAAATTAAAAACAACGAAATTAAATTGTAGGAATTTTTATTTGGCTTATTGTATTTCAATTTTAAATTGAAATATTTTAGCACATGCATTTATATTTATTTAAATACGTGAAAAATCAAATGCAGAATTGAATAAAAAGTATTAAAAAAAACACGTTAAGCCTTTAAATAACGGTGCAAAATTCCTCAAAGTGGTTGGCCTGGTCAGTGGTTTTGTGGTGCAAATTGTTTAACATGGCTAATTAGCACCTAATGCGCACTGATTGAAGCGCCACAGAGTCAATAAGCAGAAAGCTATGGAAGATGAGGAGGAGGCTAACTATGTACACTAAATAAAGGAAGGGCGTGGCATGGCCCACGATCTGACATTCAGGTGTAAAAGATAGTATGTACGGAAAGTGTATCAAAGAGATTAGTGCAAATTGAAATTGATTTTCCGTGCAGCAGAAATACGAAATGAGAATTTTAAATGAAAATTGATGTAGGTAACTGATGAGCACGACACCCACAAGCCCGACCCCGCTCGCTTTAATCCGCTTAAGCCATCGATTTATTTAACAGGTTTCGCATAAGCAATGTGAAAATTTATAGCGTACATATTCATACATTAAGCTATTTAAATCAATTTAGTTAAGTCAAAGGGACAAATGTATAATTTAATTTATTTCGAGTGCACAGCTACAAATATATAAATGAACCAGTTTTATTTGAATAACATATAAAATTGATATTTATTGTTAAATTGATTATGTAAGTTTGATTTCACTTCTTTCACAACGTTTGGTGTCTGTTCGTGTGAATTTTATTGTTTTTCATTTTAATTCCTAAGCGTACAATATGCTTTCCCATTGTAATTAAGTCGAATTGCACGAACAATCAAGCTTCTCAAGCATCAGTAGAACACTATTTTAAATTCATTTTATAGGCCATCCCCCGTACATTTCCCAAATGGTTTAATTAAGCCCACGGCATTCACTAAAACAATTAAATAAGAACTGTGCCTAGGCCAGTACGCGGCCTTCAGTACTCAGTCAGTCGGCGTTAAACAAAATTAAAACTAATTAAAATATTTTGGCATATAAATCAACAGTAAAAACAGTGAATGGGCTAGGGTTATGTGGAGCATCCACCTCACTTTGAGGGCGTTTTTCTGGCGGGCATCTCCAGTGCTAGCAAACTTTGTGAGTTTTAGCGCCAATTTTAATGTGGAAACTTTTTGGGGGAAGGCGTTGTTGCCACATTTAATCATTTGCTCTGCTGTCTGAGTTGCGGTCTTAAAGCACTTTTGTTGAGCTGTCGCTTTGGGTTGAATGATTAGCAAAAGTTTTTAATTTTCTGTCCGTCTCCCTTTAAAGTCAAACACAAAATTAAGCCTTAACATTCCATCTGCCATGCTGACATATAAAGCTATTTTGTTGCAGAGAATATGGCTCACATTTTTGCTATGATTGGTTGCAATTGTTGCTTTAGCTTTCAGGTGTTATTGAGAGTTCGTTTGGAATTTGTAGAAAAAGAAGAAAGAACAGCTTGCCTTTTTAGCATGAAACTCAAAAGTCAAATTGAAAGAAAATGCAAAGTGATTGAGAAATGTGTCCAGGTCGCTTTGAAGTCAAATATAGGTGAAAATTGCTGGTAATGTCTGCAGCTAATTGGGATAAATATCCTATTTAATGCTGTCGAAGAGCAAACTGCTTGCCAATGTTCAAAGAAAATAGTTTAATAAAGTGCTTTTTAGAGCTATATTTTTGATAAAATCTGTATAATACTGCACTTTTAATTAGGAAAAGATCTAATTCCACTGCCTAAGTATAAGTCGGGATCAGATTGATCATGTAACCTCTGGTATTGATACCTTGAACTGTCTGTATGCTATGGAACAGTATTTTATTTCTCAAAGCTTGCAACCTCATTATTTTTCATCCGTCTTTTTTTATTGTCTTGCAATGAATCATTCATTCTAATCAACTTGATTAGCTCAGAGTTTAAGCTTCGCCTCCTCTGCCCCGGTAACTCTTCCAGTTCGATGATGTATTTTCATTGTCAATCTTTTGCCTGCGCTCATATTTCATGGCTCGCTTATTGTTTTGCCGATAAGCAGCCTCCACTACGAGGTCTCTCACTCCCACCGCCTCCCATTTCCAGCACATTCTCCACAGCTTGCTGGGCTTGCTGTCGTCGTAATGCGCTGAACGTGGACATGTCATAAATTAGGAAAAGCTCGCCGCATCAACGATTATGTCAAACATTGTGACAGAAGCGTATCTTATTGATGATGCTTATCGGCGGGGCTGACAACAAATGTGAGTTGGATGTGACACAACAGGGACGTTGATTAGGGGCAATATGAAAGATAGATCCGATAGAATCACATTTTCTTCATACTCCACTTACATTTGCTGATGACCGGGCATTAAGCACAAATAAAAACGTGGAGTGCTAAAAAGCCCATTTCTTAAATAGGCCGGGCCAGCAGCAACAGCAGCAGAAGCACCAACAACAACGCCGGCAAACAAAAGGCGTTGCGTAAAAACGAGAAGTGGAAACAATTTGCCAAAGCGTCGAGCGCTTGGTTATAATAACAGCAGCAGCAGCAGAA